CTTATCTGACTCAAACCAATCACGAGAGGATAAGGTCAACCCCCATTCTGGATACTCCTCCCCCCTCACTATGGAGAAAGCACCAAGGACCCCACAATTCAACCCTGAGCTACAAATATTTGCTTCTATTGGTAGCCTGTCACTCTGAGAATCTCCCATCCAGCTTCTAAGCAGGTCCGACTCTGCTTAGCTTTTCAAGATCAATCAAAGCTTACCTTAAATCATGAAGACATGATCTGTAGACAAATTATTCTATTACCCTCTATTGGGTCAGTTTGATGCCTTCTAGACAGCCATGCTTCCCAGGAGTTGTAACTCAGTATGTTGAAGAGCAGCAAGTTGAAGTAAGTCTGTGCTATTCTAACTCCATTTGCATTTACTTTCTCCTGAAGAGTGTTTTGGAAGAACACCTGCATTCTAAAAGTCAAAAATTCACCTATTTTCTAAGCCCCAAACTTCTGAGTTCCCAAACTACAGAACCACAAAGGTGTTTTTTCAAGAGGCAACTGGCCTTTTTTCTTTTTTCTTTGAAGACGTTTCACTTCTTCTCATCCAAGAAGCATCTTCAACTCCCTTCTATTCCTCACCATCCAGTCACAGCTGAAGAAGCTTCTTGAATGAGAAGAAGCAAAACATCTTCAAAGAAAAAACAAGAAAGTTCAGTTGCCTCCTGAAAAAGCACCTTTGGGACAGCCACAACCAGGATGGCTGAGAATCTCTACATACAGAACCACAACTGGATCTCAATAACACAAGAGGAATGTATTTTTGTATACATTCTTGTATTTTGAGTGGAAGGGGGTGTTTTCTGAAAAAACAAACTGCACACATACAAACTCTAGACAACTTTCCAAGTAAGGAATGTTCCCACCTCTATGTCTCTCTAGACAGTAAAATCTGAGGTTTGCTATTAGCCCTTTACTCACTCCAGAAAAAAAAGTAGATTTGCCTCTCCAGTGCATTTTTATAATTTGCCATTAAGAGCTGGATTAGGATCTTCCTTCTAAGCCTTACCTGGGCCCAGTGTCTTCAGATCAATTTCTTCTAGAAAGTCCTTTGAGGCCATTTCTGCTTTAGAGAGAAACAAATCTGTGTTGGCGAGGATGATCCCTGTCACGGCAGCCCCGATGGCTCCAAATCCAAGCGTCCACATTGCTACGGAGAGGTCAATCGGTAGAGACATTTCTAGAAAATGAAGGGAAGACCCGTCACACCAGCAGCCCAAAAGATTTTGAAATTTTAAAAAGGAAATGAAGACGAGCTGGAAGGAGTGACTTAAATTGAATGTCTAATTAATTAATTAGGACAGATTTTAAAAGTTTGGTATATGCACTGAAAGGAAGTTTTGTCAGTTTTGTATGTATAAAATGAGTAGGTAAATGAATGTCCTGTGTTTCTTTAAATAATGCTGAATAATTTCCAAAGTCTGTAAAATACTATTGATTAGATTTTGAAATAAGAGAAGAAAAAAGTTCCATTGCATGAGGATAAACTGGAGAGATTCAAATGTAAAGAGCTAAATGGACTTAATTGGACCTATAATTAGTAAAATACCAAAAGTTTAAAAAAAAAGTTTTCTCCCTTTCCGGTTAAAAAAATTAAAATGCTATATTATTCACCAAAGCAAAGAGAGGCAGAGAGGGTCAAATATATTTTTTTATCCAAAGGAGAGAATATATCTAATTTTGTCTTTATTCTGAAATTGCTTCCAGATTTTGTGCTTGCAGTGAAAAAAAATGAAACTTTGATTTTGTTTTTGTTAACTAGATAGGCTTAAGGTTATAGAAATGGCTTGTACATACTGTTGTGTAAAAGTTGTGGTTGTAATGTTGTTCTCTTCTACTGTGCTAAAGAGAGTCTGAAGTCAGTGCCTTTTTCTTTTCTTTTCTCTTTTTACACTATTATCTCTTTTTTCCCCTTTTCTTGTTTTTCACGTCTTTTTTTCTTTGTATTTTATACTTGGCTAAACTAATTTTAAAATTTAAATTTTAAAAAGGGAGAAAAGGAACAAATCTCATCCAGGACATCAGTACAACAGGAAGATAAATAAAGTTTCTGTTGAGTCAAACTCAGTTTTTACTGTAGCGATACGTCCATGCGATGTTTTCTCAACAACGGCGTTACTCATTTGATAATCAAATAATTTTGCTTGGTTTGCTGCAAAAAATTGAAATTCTTTCCAAAGCAGAACTGGAGACTGGGGCTGGCTGCCAAATTACTCAAACATTTATAATGCAGGCAGTCCTTGACCCAACCAGCCGTTTAATGAGCATTCGAAGTTATAATGGCATTGAAAAAAGGACCTATGACCAGTTTTCATCCTTATGACCATGGCCACATGATCAAAACTCAAGATGCTTGGCAACTGGCAGGTGTTTATGACAGTTGCAGTGTCCTGGGGTTATGTGATCCCCTCTGACAAGCAAACTCAATGGGGAAGCCAAATTCACTTTACAGCTGAGTTACTAACTGAACAACTGCAGTGATCTGCTTAACAACGGGGCCAAGAAAGCTTGTAAAATGAGGGTAAAGCTCACTTCAAAACGGTCTAACTTAGCAGAAGAAACTTTGGGCTTAACTGTGGTTGTAAGTCAAGGACTACTGTGCATATCGCAAATCATTTATTCTGGATTTACGAGAATATGAGTAATTGATCCCTGGCCCGAAAGAAAGGAATTTTGCAATTGGATTTCTACTAAATAGCAAGAAACCAGAAAGGCAACTGGACTGATTGGACTGTAGGAAGGAACGAAATTTCCTCCAGGATGGCCACCATTGCATGAGCCATTCTACTATCCAGGTTTGTGGAGGCATAGGGAACTTTCACACAATCCCAAGCATGAAAGGAGCACATTCAAGGCAACTCCTTAACACAGGGCTTCTGAATCCAAACCTCTGGGAAAATGTAGCCCTTAGCAATTGTCCTTAAACTTGTATACTGCTTCACAGTGCCTTACAGCCCTTTCTAAGTGGTTCACAGAGTCAGCTTCTTGCCCCCAACAATCTGGGTGCTCATTTTACCAACCTCAGAAGGATGGAGAGCTGAGTCCATAGCAATAGCACTTAGACTTACATACCACTTAACCATTTCCATTTTTTTTTCTACCAGTTCGCTTATGCGTGTGATCCGGGTGGATGGGCGGAGCCTCCCGGGCTGAACCGGGAGCAACCCACCTCCGCACATCACAGTGCTTTTACAGCTTTCTCTAAGCAGTTTATAGAGTCAGCCTATTGCCCCCAACAATCTGAGTCCTCATTTTAGAGACCTCAGAAGGATGGAGAGCTGAGTCAACCTTGAACTGTTCAGGATTGAACTGCTGGCAGTTGGCAGAGTTAGCCTGCAATACTGCATTCAAACCACTGTGCCACCATGGATGGATGGGGAGGGAGGGAGCGCAATAGCACTTATATACCGCTTCACATTGCTTTTACAGCCCGTTCTAAGTGGTTTACAATCAGGCTATTGTCCTCAATCTGGGTCCTCATTTTACTGACTTCGGAAAAATGAGGACCCAGATTGAGGACAATAGCCTCAAGGCTGAGTCAAAGTATCACTTTGAGAACTTTTCTTTCTGGTTCCCAATAAAGTAAACTCTCCTCTCCAGCAACCTAATTTCCAGCGGGGGACAGAGTCGGAAGCTGTTTCTGAAGCTAGACCTTGGAAGTTATCAAAGTCTCTCTTGGGGAAATCTTCCAAAACAAGGCATGATTGCACAATGTTACATGCCACCAGCTGGGAAGGAGAAGATCATCTCAGATGTTTAGCACAGAGGATTTCATTTGCAAACTCACGCAAACCCGATAGGCTTAATCTGTATGTAGGCATGTGGGGTACCCACACATGTTGATAAAAAGAAAGATAATTTCAGGCAATTGTGAGCATCCTTATCCTAGCAAGAGAAAGAGAATAGGAAAGGGATTGTTTTTGGAGCCCTGATATACAAGACAACCACCTCCATGTGATACCAGATTGCCAAAGACACTACCGTATGTATTGAACTGATTCTTATCATCGGCCCATGTGCTCAGCTCCATGAAAGAACCACAATGGAAATAAATCTGATGAAGACATATGACTCAGTCTTCTGTTTGCATGCACATGTGTTTGAGAGCTTTAAGGAAGTGAAAGCAAGGAAAGCCAAATGCTAAAAATTGGCCACCTGAACTCATGCCACCAAGTGCTGCAATAGACCCAAATCCTGAGTAACATCAAGACCTCAAAATAACGTCTCAGCAAATGGCAAACTCTACTTTAATCCAGATTTACCCCAGGCTTTCTGGGTTCTAAAGGGGTAGCCAGAGGTGGGTTCCTACCAGTTCGCATCTATTCAGTAGAACCGGTTCGTCAAATCTACCGAACAGGTTAGAAGAGGTTCCACCAGTGGACCCGGAAAGCAGACCACACGTACAGAAGAGGTTCCAAAAATTTTTGAAACCCACCACTGGGGGTATCCCATACTTGCCAATGGAAGTTGTCTACTGGCAAGTCTATGAAGAGTGAAGCTGGAAGAACAAAAGCTTAACTAGCTACCTAGCATTACGCCCTTCAAATTTATTATTACTGCTTATGACTGAATGCAAAATAATGATTTATTAAATGTATGTACTGCCCAACTCCAAGAAAACTTCTCTCTCTTATCATCATTCAATGAAATTCTAGCCAAACTAATTCCTAGGAAGTTAGCTTTAAAAAAAAAAAAGAAATCCAAGGTTTAATTTTGTGCCCACAATTGGTTAACAACTGAATAATATTCGTAATGATGGAACCAACCTTCTCCCATGCAAGCATTTTCCAGATGTTCGGAATTCTTTTAACCTAATCTAGTTACTTCATAATTTAGGTTTACGTCCTTTGGATAGATCTGAAGTTTCTGCCTAGCGTGTAGTTCAAAAAATTAAAAACCCTGAACCATCCATCATTTCCAGTTTTCCTGAAACATAAATTCCCTTGTCAAATGTTTGTGAGTGTTTAAGCAGGGTTTCTTTAACAGCTTTGTTCATCTCATAAAATAGCACATAATCATGCATGTGTAATGGGAACATGAAGACTTATCATTAATCTGGAAAATTGCTGACTGAGACATTAATCCATGGTGCTATCTGCAAAGAGAAAGAGTCACACACTGATGTTGTGATGTTTTAGAGGTGTCACAAAACTAATAGAAACATATTTTGATGTCTTGTAGGATCTCCTGAATTGGCAACAGGAAGAACAGAAGTGAGAGGAGAAAGTCTCCTTTGGGTCAAGCTCAACTTCTGGTGACCTTCCATGAAATTGTCCTGACAAGAACAACAATGTTAGTGCCTCGATGGAAAACATATGTGGCTCCAAGGTTGAATTGTTGGGTCCTTGATATTTTTTGAGTTTCCTTTTGATTGCATGTCACCTAGCCTGGTTTTAAATTTTAAAATATTTTAAATTTTGTGCCATATAGTATGCCTTATTTTAACTGTGTAATGAATAAACAAACCTAGGCTGGGAATAAAACATCTGCAGAAGAGAAGCAAGAATGGGGAACACCAAGAAACCAGTATTCAAAGTAGTTTGCTATACCCTTTTTCTGAGATGTTTTCTGGACTTCCCCAGCTGGACTGGAGCCCTGGGATTTCTTGCAATCCTCCATTTAATTAAGTTGAATCTTTAAGTTTTTTCAGATCAGCCAAGGTTGGATAGTTGCTGCCATCTACCCAATTATATCAATCAGAAAAGAGCTGGAAGGAACCTTGGAGGTCTTCTAGTCCAACCCCCTGCTCAAGCAGGAACCCTATACAATTTTAGATAAGTAGCTGTCCAGTCTCTTCTTTAAAACCTTCAGTGATGGAGCACCTACAACCTCTGGAGGCAAGCTTATTCCACTGGTTAATTGTATGGCTTGGGCACCTCCACGTGGCGACTGCTGGAGATGGTATTAATGGTGTCTCTGACCCTAAATACCTGAGCTAAGATCCAAACCACCCCACCCCCCAAGAGGCCAACCACCCTGTAGAGGGCTTGTTGCTGGTTACTAACATGCATATAATATTCAGTCCTAGACCTCCTGGACTTTCAGTTTCCAGCAGTAGAAATGGGAATGCCAAGGATACAGGCACCCAGAACGAAATGGAAAGTTTCTTCTTAATTAGGGAATTTATCTCTTATAGTTCTAGGTTATCTCTTATAGTTCTAGGTTGCTTCTCTCCTTGATTAGTTTCCATCCATTGCTTCTTGTCCTGCTTTCAGGTGCTTTGGAGAATAATTTGACCCCCTCCTACTTGTGGAAGCCTCTCAAATACTGGAAGACTGCTATCATGTCCCCACTAGTCCTTCTTTTCTCTAGACTAGCCAAACCCAAATCCTGCAATGGTTCTTCATATGTTTCTGTCTCCAGGCCTTTAATTATCTTAGTTGCTCTTCGTTTTTCCCAATTTTTTTAGCAATAGCAATAGCAGTTAGACTTATATACCGCTTCATGTATTCGGCGACTTCAGCTAGTCCAGAATGCGGCCGCGCGAGCGATTGTGGGTGCACCTC